GCTAATGTGTATTGACGTCCAGTCCATCTGATTGTCCCGTTTGCCCGTGTGAACCTGGTAATATAACGTGGACATTATGGAGATTCTTTACGAAATGTGTGTGTGGAGTTTTGTCTTAATGAATCAGTTCTAAACTAACTAGCTAAGTTAGCTGGCTAGTTAACAAGTTATTTCCCTTGCTCTGCAAGGTCCGCGGCTTTTTTGGAGTGACAGCTAATGATACTTCAGTTCATGAGTTGACAGTTGTCGATATGTTCAGAGGGTCCCTGGTTGGAGCCCATGATGGGGCAAGGGTGGGAGCAGTAGAGTAGCTCAGCTGGTAGAGCACGGCGCTTGTAACGTCAGGGTAGTGGGTTCGATCCCCGGGACCACCCATACACAAAAATGTATGCACGCATGACTGTAAGTCGCTTTGGATAAAAGCATCTGCTAAATGGCATATTATAGAGTACCACAGTATGAGTCATAATACCAATAACCTAGCAGTCAAACATGGAAGTGGTTCCAATTGATTTTTCCCATAGAGGATTTTAGATACACTTCAAATAAGGGCTGTTTTTCATGTAGGCTTACCCTGGCTTGACGTTTTGATAACAGTGTAAATCTCTCGGAAAAGGTGACTTGTATCAATATATTTGCCTGTATTTACCCAATGGTGTAAAGTACTTAAGTAAAAATACTTTGAAGTACTACTTAAGTAGTTTATTTGGGTATCTGTACTTTACTATTTTTGGCAACTTTTACTTTTACTCCAATACATTCCTAAAGAAAATATGTACTTTCTACTCCCATACATTTTCCCTGACACCCAAAAGTACTCTTACATTTCGAATGCTCAGGCAGGACAGCAATATGGTCCAATTCACACACCTATCAATATAACGTGTTGTCTCCCCTACTGCCTCTGATCTGGCGGACTCACTATTTACATTTACATTTTTAGTCATTTAGCAGACGCTCTTATCCAGAGCGACTTACAGTTAGTGAATACATTTTTTTTATACTGGCCCCCCCGTGGGAATCAAACCCACGACCCTGACGTTGCAAACGCCATGCTCTATCAACTGAGCTACATCCCTGCCGGCCATTCCCTCCCCTACCCTGGACGACGCTGGGCCAATTGTGCGCCGCCCATGAGTCTCCTGGTCGCGGCCGGCTGCGACAGAGCCTGGATTCGAACCAGGATCTCTAGTGGCACAGTTTTAGACCACTGCGCCACTCAGGCACTCATACTGCGTTTGTAAATTATGTCTGAGTGTGCCCCTGTCTGTTCGTAATTTTAAACAAGACATTTTTGGGATTTGGTTTGCTTAATATAAGGAATTTGATGTATAGCATTTACTTTTTCTCAAGTATGAGAATTTTGTATTTTTTCCACCACTGTACTTTAGAACATTTTAAACCAGATACTTTTAGACTTTACTGAAGTAGTATTTTACTGGGTGACTTTCACTTTTACTTTAGTCATTTTCTATTGAGGTATCTTTACTTTTACTCAAGTATGACAATTGATTACTTTTTCCACCACTGTATTTACCCCCCACAAATGAAATCCTAATTAGCCGCTAATGTGGCTAATTCATCATACAGAACTACAAATGCCTGTCTTAAGCTTCATGTCACTCACCAGGGCCATGATGCCGAATCGAGGCAAAGGTAAGAAACTCTGGATTAACTATCTAATGTTAGCTAAATTTAGTAATTAATAAATTGGATACATTTGTTTGAGTTGACAATTCCATTTTTAAAGGTGCACTATGCAGAAATCGCTCCGCCATTTCCTGGTTGTTAAAATTAGAATAGTTTATGTGACAAAACAAGCAGTCTTTGTGTAGAGAATCATTGTAGGGTCCAAAACACGCTAGTCCATTACAGGCTAGAACACTTTACAATGGAAGAAAATACTGGTAGCTTCCAGCTTTGTAGGCTAACACACCAGCACCCCATTTTATGTTTATTCCATGGCCAACCATCCCTCTAGCTACCCCTTATTCCACACTATGCCTTTTATGCCCCCTGGTCCCTCAACTTCGGACACTTTGGAACTCTCCATCTGATCTCTATAAACCCACCCTACCTTCACCCATTTATCCTATGCTGCTTCCATCACTTGTTCTTCTCCTGATTGGATAACATCTAGACTCAGTAACACCTTTAAAAGTGTTGTGGTGTGCTGTTTTTGCTGCCTTTCCCCCACCTGTGTAATGCTGTCGTCCTCCTGCTTATTCTGGGGTTCAGACTGAATGCAGAGGTAGATGTGCTGCTCATAATTGACAGCAGCAACATAGGCCTGTTAAATTGACAAGAAGGGTGTTGATATAGCTGCGTTTAGACTTCCATCGGGTGAAGGAGAAGAGGATCTGGTAAAATAAGGGTATGTTGCTAATATCATCTAGGTAGATAGGTAGCTAGCTAGCTTCTTCGCAAAAAAATAGTCTAGTATGATGTCACATTGTAAATATCTGACCGCTACTAGGATAGTATTCTGTACAAGACACGAGACCAAATGCATAAATAAGCCAACAGATATTAGTTAAATAAAATATGGGACAGTAAATGAAAGTGTAGAGTATATATTTCGTTTTGGATGAAGGTAGCTAGTAGCTAGCTAGCTGAGAGCAAAGGTGTCAGCTAGAGACGACGTGCGGGATCTTGCCGTGATTTGTAGTCTTGCATGATGTCTACTTTGATTGTAATTAGCATTTCCGTGTCTTAAGAGTAATTAAAGCTGAAGTCACCTTGCCCGAGAGAGATTTACACGGTTATCAAAAGGTCACGCCAGGGAAAGCCTACATGAAACAGACCTTTTTTGAAGTGGTTCTAAAATCCCCTATGGGGAAAAATTCATTGGGGAAAATCTATTGGAACCATTTCCATGTTTGACCGCAAGGTGTTATGGGTGTTATGATGTGTCCACTGAAGGGCTCTATACTGTTACACATGCCTGTAATAAAGATCAATGTATTGCACAATACATAAGTGTAATATACCAAATTAATTTATTTATTATATGTAAAATAATATTGGATGTGGATGCACTTGTAACATTAGATCACATTCAATATAGTCTGAGGATAGTATTTTCTTTCCACAGGGACTACAGAAGCATCTAGGAGGATAACAATGGGAGATTTAACATCATTCGGAGGTTACAAGCATGTGTTTCTTTATTTTAGGTTAGCTCATATTTGAAACACAGTGAAAATAACATATTTCAAGAATCATTATTCAAATTATTAATGTATTCATTGCGTGCTAGGAATATGGTACCAAATATGTAACGTTTTACTACTTTAATATACATAAGTGAATTCGTCCCAATACTTTTGGTCCCCTAAAATGGGGGAACTATGTACAACAAGTGCTGTAATTTCTAAACAGTTCACCCGATATGGATAGAAAACCTTATGTCTATACCAGACATGAAAACCCTTTGGCACACAAGGTAACATATCACAAGCAATACACAGAGATGCAATTTCAATTGTCTTTATTCGGCTCATGTTACATGGAGAATAGAGAAAAACGAAAGCACTACAGTCAGGTGATTTTCAGAAAGGTCCATCCGAGAGCTTCACTCTTCATCATGCCCTTTCTGTGACAGAAGATGGATAAAGGTTGTGAAAATGAACTGTATATTCTGGAAACATTTGTATGATATACTTTGGGTCTTGAAATGTAAATTACACAATGGGGCAACTCCAATGAGTGTTTATTAAGGTATGGAATACACTAAATATCATGCACTAAAACACTGTTCATGAAATGGTCCTAACATTACACCAACTGTGTTTGCTAAGCAAATTAACTAAGATTTTACGAAACTTTTAAAGGTGCAATGATGTCAAATCAAATAATTCAATTAACATTCAATTACTTTGGCTATTGCTTTAATTTCAACTACAGTCCTTATTACAATAAACATCTCCAACAACGATGCAATTGCATGGTAAGTGACCACTAAAACCAGGAAGTGTGCAAATGATAACCAAAGCAACTGACCTGGGAACAGGGTCACAACTCTTGGCCTCACTCCTCATCCTTTCCTTTCTGTGACAGAGAAGATAGATTGGTTCTAAGAAAATTGTAATCCTACAGGAAAACCTTTATATTGCCATGTACAATGTGCTCTAGTTAAAATTACAATAAACTTCAACAAGTAAGTAGTATACACTTGGAATAAACTATGAACATCATGTTGTCCCCTATACAGACACCAAACATGTCCTGATTCTCCTTAGATCTACTATGTAATCAATAAAACGTTTGCAAAACATTTATAGTTGCAATACTGTCCAATGAACAATTAAAGTAAAATGAACTGTAGATTCATTTCATTCTTAAGCAGTAGGTATTACAGAAAATCTGTTTAAAAAAATGCAATGTAACATTCTCTTTTTGGTCCCAGTTTCTTTAGACATAGGTAGGTACAACGTTTCAGTGTAATCTGCAGTGTAGGTACATATTGTTACTGAAGACTAAATTATTTAAATCAAAGCATGTAATGAATATCAATGTTGCAGAGTGGAGTGGTTATTACATACTGTATAATTGGGCAATTACCCTATGACATCATTAGCTTTAGTGATTTGCTACGGCGGAAATTACTAAAGGCTGTGGTAGACACAAGGTTGGAATATCAAAGTTTTAATATTGTCCTTTAATTTGAATTTCTTTATCAAATTAATGAATGTAAAAAAACTGCAACAGGTATAGTATAAAGTATCATCTTTGACTGTTATTACACTGTAACTACTTATAAAACTACCATGGGAATGAATACATTTAATGTAAAGTGGGGCCTTTTTTTTCTCTCCAGAAAACGTATCTATGAAACCATTGGGACCATTAGCAGCAAGCTATTACATTTAGACTTGATCCTGTCTTGTGTAGTTTTACAACACAATGGATGCCAGCAAATTAATGAACATACATTTAGATATTCAGATGTTAATGATATTATGGCTATTGGATATCACATGCCTTAAAAGTATTCAACGTTAAGGCTTCAGCCATACAGTACATGAGAGAATCTGAAAATTATAATTAATAGACGATTGAAACTACTGACCTTGGAACCGACATCACGACTCTTGGCTCTCATCTTATTGACCTGAGACTCGGCAATATCAGCCCTCTCCTCTGCCTCATCCAGTTCATGCTGAATCTTGCGGAACTTGCCCAAATTGGAATTGGCTTGTTCCTCCTGTAGAAAAATATGGATGATTTAGTCTCTGGCAAACGCAACAATTCATAAATGACAGATGCATCAGTTGGATGGCGGAAGGTTTTGTACTTACAGCCTCCTCTGCAGTTCTCTTGTAGGATTTGACCTTCAGCTGCAGTTTGTCCACCAGGTCCTGAAGACGGCTCAAATTTTTACGGTCTTCCTCAGTCTGCACCAGAAAAACAAGGGGGGAAAAAAGATGGTCATATATTAACCATTTTATTCTGAGCCATGTTCATAGTGCCACTTTGATGTACCTGGTAGGTGAGTTCCTTGATACGTCTCTCGTATTTACGGACTCCTTTCACAGAATCGCCACCCCTCCTCTGCTCACTTTCCACTTCCGTCTCTAGCTCCCTCACCTAGAAAGATATGATGGATGTTAACACTATTTCCAATTATGTTGTTACTACTACATTCAACATTGAAGCTAGAAATATGAAAAATAATTTGTAATTTATAGAAGAGAAGGTAGGTTAGTCTCAAACACTTACTCTGGCCTCCAGCTTCTGGATCTGCTTCTTGCCCCCCTTCATGGCGATTTGTTCAGCTTCATCCAGGCGGTGCTGCAGGTCCTTGATGGTCTGCTCCATGTTCTTCTTCATGCGTTCCAGGTGAGAGCTGGTGTCCTGCTCCTTCTTCAGCTCCTCGGCCATCATGGCAGCATCCGTAATGGCCTTCTTGGCCTTTTCCTCAGCGTTTCTGCACTCCTGCACAGCCTCCTCCACTTCGGTCGAAAGCTGGGATGTGTCGCCCTCCAGCTTCTTCTTCTGGCTCAACAGGCTGGTGTTCTACACGTATGTTTGAGGAATTACTTTCATAGTATCTTAAACATTTTTTCAAGTTGTGTATATTTAATAAGGCTATCCATTGTCGTCGTCCCATCGGTGCCTTACCTGAGAGTGCAGCAGCTGAACTCTCTCACTAACATCCAGCAGTTCCTGCTCGGCCAGTTTGCGGCCTCTCTCAGTCTGCTCCACCAGGGACCTCAGCTCATCCAGTTCAGCCTGCATCAAGTTGTTGCGTCTCTCCACAATGGCAATGTTCTCCTTCAGGTCGTCACCACCACGTAGGGCATCATCCAGCTGCAGTTGAGAATCCTGTGGAGAGAATTGAGGATTTTAGATTTGTTTCTTAGATTCGTTAGAAAGAGGTCCCAGAAAGACCCCAGATCTGTTTAACAAGTCTTTTTTGGCTTCATCATTATAATAAAAATGTAGTAGGTATGGTGTTTTTGATTAAATGCTGTGGAAGAGTTACCTTCAGATGGGCATGGAGACCCTTAAGTTGCTTCTGGGCCTCTCCTGCCTGCCTGTTGGCCTGGCTGAGCTGGATCTCCATCTCATTGAGATCTCCCTCCATCTTCTTCTTCAGCCTGAGAGCTTCGTTCCTGCTACGAGTCTCTGACTCCAGGGAGCTTTGCAGGTTATCCACCACTCTCTGCTGGTTCCTCTTATTCATCTCCATCTCCTCGTCCTTCTCCACAAGTTTGCGCTCAATGTCAGCTTTGACCTGGTTGTACTCCAGCTGTGCCCTCAGGATCTTGCCCTCCTCATGTTCCAAGGGAGCCCTATGGCAACACAACACACATTGTATGTAAAATCTTCTAATATTTTACCAGCAGTAAATTGTGTCTATCCCTATCAGTAAATATCTTCCAGTCTCACCTCAGCTTCCTCTAGAGCAGTTTGTATCTCAGCCTTCTCCTGCTCCAGCTGTTTACGGACCTTCTCCAGCTCATGGATGCTCTTTCCTCCCTCACCAAGTTGCTCAGTCAGGTCAGAAATTTCCTCTGTGGGGGGGGGGGGGGGAAAAACAATTGCACATCAGAATCTTGTGATAACAAATCTCTGTAATAATATTTAAATGATTGCCTGAAATGCAGGCCAATAATACTGACGCTCTGACCTTGCAGGTTCTTGTTCTCCCTCTTCATGGTCTCCAGATGATCCAGAGACTCCTCATAAGAGTTCTTGAGTTTGAAGAGCTCAGTGCTGAGAGATCTGGCCTCTTTCTGGGAGCTCTCCAGCTCGGTCTGGGACTCCTCAAACTTCTGCTTCCACTCAGCCAGGACCTAGTGGAATCACACAGGTATTGGAAATGGTTTGAGTAAACAGCATATGATTACCGTGTATTATAATGAAAGTTAAGAAGACTTGTGTATCCCATAATAACACCTTGTCGAAGTTCCTTTGCTTCTTGTCCAGAGCGGCAGCAGCTGCATTGGATCTCTCCACATCCACCATGAGATCTTCAATCTCATTCTGGAGTCTGTGTTTAGTCTTCTCCAGGGAGGAGCATTTAGCGTTAACAGCTTCCACAGCTTCCTCTGCATCCTGCAGACGCTGAGCCAACTTTTTCCTAGATTGACATAGATAGGAAACATTTCAGAACAGCTGACTTTAAAAAATATATATATATAATGTTTGTATATCAGGTAATTCATGTATCATTCATCATAAACTTTTGTGTATCGCTCATTCAGCCAAGGTTGAATAGCCATGAAAGTAAGAGAAAGTAAGAAAAACATCCTTACTTTGCCTCTTCAAGCTCCTCGGTCTTCTGGATGGCATCAGTTTCATACTTGTTTCTCCACTGAGCCACCTCAGCGTTGGCCTTGGACATGCCACGCTGCAGCTCAGCCTTGGCCTCCTGCTCTTCCTCATACTGCTCCCGGAGCAGGTCGGAGTCATGGCGAGCAGACTGCACTGCATGGGCAAGTGCGTTCTTTGCCTGGAAAATAAATGTAAAAATAAATAAAAAATGTCGTTATGCCGGAGGATGAATGTAGTTGGATAATAGATTCTACATTTATTGTATAAATACCTTGACTTCCTCCTCCAGTTGTCTCTTGAGGTCTTCAATCTGCTGAACGTTAGACTGTTTACCCCTGGTCAGTTGGGAGACAAGAGAGTCCTTCTCCTCCAGTTGTCTGGCAAGTTCACCTGTTTTCATTGATTTTTGATTAGTTAGTCTGTTATTGTGGATGTGGCGATTCATTGTGGCTGTTTATGTGAATGTTCATGTTAAGTTATTATACCATTCTCAGTTTGAAGCTTTGCTTTCTGCATGGTGAAATCATTGATGGATCGATGTCCTTCCTCAGCTTTCGTCCTGTATTCACTCATCTGGTCCTCTAGAGTGCGGCACATTTTCTCCAAGTTTGTCTGAAAACACGTTTTTTTTTAGGTAACACAGCACAACCTTCATAGATCATCTCTCTGAAGATTTGATTTGATTTGATTTGATTTGAAGAGCATGTACAGTGTCATTTTGCGATAACTATCTGATCTCAGAAAATGCTTGTATTTCATAATGATGAATCCACCGACCTTAGTCTTGACAATCTGCTCCATGTTGGAGACCACATCATCCAGCTCCAGCTTGAGCTCACTCTTCTCCTTCTCCAGCTTCTGCTTCACTCTCTGAAGGTTGTCGATCTGCTCTCCCAGGTCAGCCACACTGTCCGCATTTTTCTTCCTCAGAGAGGCAGCTGTAGCCTCGTGCTGCAGAGTGGCCTCTTCAAGGTCTCTGCGCACCTTCTGGAACTCCGCCTCCCTCTTCTTGTTCATCTCAATCTGGGCAGCAGTGGCTCCACCAGCCTCCTCCAGCCGCTCACTGATCTCCTCCAGCTCTCTGGCCAAGTCTGCCCTCTGTTTCTCCACCTTGGCACGGGCAGCTCTCTCGGCCTCCAGCTCTTCCTCCAGCTCCTCAATGCGGGCCTGAAATGGAGGAAATTAAAAACTTTTCTGGTAAGAGCAGAACATGAACAAGTGTAACAGAAAGATTCTATTTGTAACAATAATATTTAAATACCTGCAACTCCTTCAGTTTCTTCTGAAGCTGGGCACTCATGGCCTGCTCATCCTCAATCTTGCTGTTGAGTTGGCTCATCTCAAAGTCCTTCCTGATGAGTAAAAAAGCATATTTCTTTGAAATGTCTATTTTTAATGATTTTTGGGAGTTGTGATCTTTTCTGCTATAAAATAATACCAGTATGTAAATAGTTGTATTTTATTTGTGATCTTACTTCTTCATCCTCTCCTCCATCTGCTGCTTGTCGTTCTCCAGGTCCATTAGGCTCTCCTGGGTCAACTTCAAGTCTCCCTCCAGCTTTCTCTTGGCTCTCTCAAGGTCCATCCTCACCTTCTTCTCTTGCTCCAGAGACCCTTCAAGCTGATAATAATATAATATACTATAATAATATACATAATAATTAGCAGACATTTTATTCCAAAGGGACTTAATCATGCGTGCATAGATTTTACACATGGGAATTGAACCCACTACCTTGGCGTTACAAACACCATACTCTGAAACACCACTGGTAAAATATATATTAAACAATATTCTGAGTAAATAATTTACTGTAGCCCATTTTTAGGATATTTTTTGTCAATTCCAATTTGATTCTCACGTCATCAACTTGCTGTTCCAGTTTGACTTTGGCCTTGGTCAGCGTGTTGACCTTATCCTCCTCATTCTGCAGGTCATCCAGCGTTTGCTGATGGGCCTCCTGCAGAGCCTTCTTCTCCTTGGTCAGCTTGGCAATGGTTTCGTCCAGAGCTGCCATCTCCTCAGTCAGGTTTTTAACCTAAAGAAACAGAGCAGTGTCATTACACTGTCATCCACATCAATTATTTGGAGTTTTAACAACCCTAGAATGAATGAGAAGCTTTGACCTTGTTCTCCGTGGCATGCTTCTCCTTCTCCACTTTAGCCAGAGTGAGCTCCAGATCATCAATGTCCTTCTTGAGTTCTGAGCACTCATCCTCCAGCTTCCTCTTCTTGGCAGTCAGCTCTGAATTCATCTCCTCCTCGTCCTCCAGTCTCTCTGTCAGCTCTTTGGCTTTGGCCTCAAGCTGGATCTTACTCTTGATCAGCCCCTCACATCTCTCTTCAGCATCACCAAGAGTGTCTTCTGACTGTCAACGTGTCAATATATTGTAAGTATATATATATAAATCCTACACATTTCAGAAATTTGGTTGGTTGGAAAATATTCTGACACTACAATGGATGTCCAATTGCTCCAGTAATTGTATGACCTTTGGCTTGATCAAATCATGTCTCTTCCCCCTTCCATGCATCTTGCTGAATCCCAAACCAGTCCCTTCCCCTAAGCCCTCGATTTGCCTCTGCCATATTCACAGGTGTCCCAAAGCTGAGGGAGTGAAAATGATCAAAGGGGGTAGGGGCTAACTAGAGACCCTCCGATAGCCACTTTGACCAGCTTATGCTGTAGGCTCCAGGGTGAAGTGCTATCCCAACACGCGCCGGAATATGTTCAGCCTTTGCACAATTTCATATGATATAATGGAAAGGCATGCCTAATGATATGACACGTGCATTTGCTTGTGTCTTATTTACAACACGTGAAACATGTAACAAATTGAAATGTTTAACTGTTACAGAGGTTTGTATCTCGTTAATCTTGTATCTTGTTATATTTTGTAAGAATTTATGAATTCGATTTTCATGCTTGTCTCATTATTATACATTTTTAAATGAATTGCATCATTGAAGTCACGAGTGTGTCCTGTAGTTTATCAGGTTAGTTGATCCCCCTCGCCGCTCCGGAAGTCACCCTTTGAGTTTCGTCAGCAAATTTGGCAACAGAGGGAGCCCCCAAGCGAGTTGGTAGGTGCTAGGGGCTGGTTTGGGTTTGGGCCTCATTCAGGCTGAGAACTACAAAGGCCATTTTGACAAAGGATAGCAAAGTAGCTTTTACTCACAGTAAGGACAGCGAGCTGCAGGTCATTCTTCTCTTGGAGAAGGGAGACCATCTTCTCTTCCAGCTCCTTCCTACGGGCATCCGTTTTAGCATAAACCTCTTTAAGCTTCAGGAATTCTTCCTTCATGTTGGCCATCTCTTTCTCAGTCTCTGCTGTCTTCAGCAGAGGTTTGATCTTGAAGTACATCGTCATCCAGGGCCAATTTTTGACACTCATGAATGCACGAACGTTCCATTGGATCACAAGCATGGCATCCCTGTGAAATGTTATAAAATTAGCTTGTTATGCAACCTTTCCCACCTCCACCATGTTGTCTGCCGAAGTTCTATCTATTGTTTTTCCAACCTGCGGTCAACAATTTTCTGGAACTCAACCCTGGCAAGTAGACCACGTGCTCGGGCCTGGAGGCCAGTGATGATGAGAGCGAGACGGTCGTCTCTCATCTCCTCAAGGGTACCCAGGAGACCAGCCTTGAAGAACACCTAATAAAGATATACAGAGAACATACAGTGGGGAAAGAAAGTATTTAGTCAGCCACCAATTGTGCAAGTTCTCCCACTTAAAAAGATGAGAGAGGCCTGTAATTTTCATCATAGGTACACGTCAACTATGACAGACAAATTGAGGAAAAAAAATCCAGAAAATCACATTGTAGGATTTTTTATGAATTTATTTGCAAATTATGGTGGAAAATAAGTATTTGGTCACCTACAAACAAGCAAGATTTCTGGCTCTCACAGACCTGTAACTTCTTCTTTAAGAGGCTCCTCTGTCCTCCACTCGTTACCTGTATTAATGGCACCTGTTTGAACTTGTTATCAGTATAAAAGACACCTGTCCACAACCTCAAACAGTCACACTCCAAACTCCACTATGGCCAAGACCAAAGAGCTGTCAAAGGACACCAGAAACAAAATTGTAGACCTGCACCAGGCTGGGAAGACTGAATCTGCAATAGGTAAGCAGCTTGGTTTGAAGAAATCAACTGTGGGAGCAATTATTAGGAAATAGAAGACATACAAGACCACTGATAATCTCCCTCGATCTGGGGCTCCACGCAAGATCTCACCCCGTGGGGTCAAAATGATCACAAGAATGGTGAGCAAAAATCCCAGAACCACATGGGGGGACCTAGTGAATGACCTGCAGAGAGCTGGGACCAAAGTAACAAAGCCTACCATCAGTAACACACTATGCCGCCAGGGACTCAAATCCTGCAGTGCCAGACGTGTCCCCCTGCTTAAGCCAGTACATGTCCAGGCCCGTCTGAAGTTTGCTTCAGTGCATTTGGATGATCCAGAAGAGGACTGGGAGAATGTCATATGGTCAGATGAAACCAAAATAGAACTTTTTGGTAAAAACTCAACTTTGGAGGACAAAGAATGCTGAGTTGCATCCAAAGAACACCATACCTACTGTGAAGCATGGGGGTGGAAACATCATGCTTTGGGGCTGTTTTTCTGCAAAGGGACCAGGACGACTGATCCGTGTAAAGGAAAGAATGAATGGGGCCATGTATCGTGAGATTTTGAGTGAAAACCTCCTTCCATCAGCAAGGGCATTGAAGATGAAAGCTGGGTCTTTCAGCATGACAATGATCCCAAACACACCGCCCGGGCAATGAAGGAGTGGCTTCGTAAGAAGCATTTCAAGGTCCTGGAGTGGCCTAGCCAGTCTCCAGATCTCAACCCCATAGAAAATCTTTGGAGTGAGTTGAAAGTCTGTGTTGCCCAGCGACAGCCCCAAAACATCACTGCTCTAGAGGAGATCTGCATGGAGGAATGGGCCAAAATACCAGCAACAGTGTGTGAAAACCTTGTGAAGACTTACAGAAAACGTTTGACCTGTGTCATTGCCAACAAAGCGTATATAACAAAGTATTGAGAAACTTTTGTTATTGACCAAATACTTATTTTCCACCATAATTTGCAAATAAATTCATAAAAATTCCTACAATGTGATTTTCTGGAAAAAAAATCTCATTTTGTCTGTCATAGTTGACGTGAACCTATGATGAAAATTACAGGCCTCTCTCATCTTTTTATGTGGGAGAACTTGCACAATTGGTGGCTGACTAAATACTTTCTTTCCCCACTGTAAGGTGCTGTTTGGATTGCCTTGTATTTGGTTCCATTGATTTTTCCCCCCTCCCTTCGACAAGAAATAACTTTAAGGTGGTGTCCTTCAGATTTACAAAACCTGGAGGTGGTGTTTAGATTCTTAAATTCTTACCTCCAAATGAACATGGGATAAATTGACCACAAGGTGGCCCTGAAATGAGCAATTGAATTGAAAATTCAGCCCCAGTTTGAATTTTATTAACAACACCTAAATGTTACTTTTATGAAGTTTGATAAATTCGTATGACGTTTAGTATATAACATCTAAGGACCAATGTCTTTAAAACATGTACGGATAGTCTATCTTTAATAGCATGGGCACAATGAACTGCCATGAGGGTGTGGCCTGTCACTTGTAATTGCTTTTAAGGAGCCAGATGCTGATCTGCCACATGGTGGCGCTATGACAAGCACATATTTGTATCCGTCAATAGTTCTTGAAAAAAATAAAAATAATAATATGTATGCACTCACTAACTGTAAGTCACTCTGGATAAGAGCGTCTGCTAAATGACAAAAAAAATAAAAAATAGTTATTGCCATAGAGTTTGATTATAATATGCCATTTAGCACATGCTTTTATCCAAAGCGACTTACAGTCACGTGTGCATACATTTTTACGTATGGGTGGTCCCGGGGATCGAACCCACTACCCTGGCGTTACAAGCGCCGTGCTCTACCAGCTGAGCTACAGAGGACCACTATATCCATATATATCACTACCAGACCAAGCGCCGTGCTCTACCAGCTGAGCTACAGAGGACCATTGAGGGTGCACAGGGCCCAAAGCCTTTTTAAGTAGGGCAGTGCCAATGAGGGCTTTCACAATGTTGTGACTTAATATGGGTTAAAGGGGCAAGCCTCAGTTCCAACCATAACAAAGGTTTGAAGCTTATATTTTGGGTTACCAATGGGGCAATTGAACTAAGCTCATGAGGCATTCATACATTTTAGTCTTCAAGAATCAATGGGTGTACAACATTAATATAAACGTCCAGAAATGTATGTAGCAATTGCAGATTGCCGTTTTAAAGGATGGATCACAAAATTCCATTCAGATCAGCAGGAGGGGTCAGCCAATGAATTATACTCCTGAGCATTCAATAACAGCAGGTGGCAGTAAATCCCCAACCTTGGCTTTATACCTCTAGAGGTATAAAGCCAAGGTTGGGGATTTACTGCCACCTGCTGTTATTGAATGCTCAGGAGTATAATTCATTGGCTGACCCCTCCTGCTGATCTGAATGGAATCTAGCTCAGGAGGTGGTATGCACCTTTTCAGTTTATTTACCAACTGCCAATAATACACTCATGAAAATATAAGAAAAATAAATTCACTACTTTAAAAGGTCAACTGCCCCTTAAACCAACTTCTCTGTTTTTAAACGGTCGTTGATGTGGCATCTATATGAGTCAGAAACATTAATTATAGTGTCAGAATTGACAACAAAGTGTAAATAGGATAATTTTTGTCATAAAATCAGTCTCGTCCAAAACTGAGTTTTGTTAGTTTGTCACGATTTACTGGAGGGTTGGGTATGGAATACATTTCTAATGACTCCAATTGCCCGGAGACATGGTCCGTCCCCAGCTGCTATGTGGACATGGTTGTCAAGTCCTCATATAGTTGCGCACGCACATTTTGCTCGGCAAATAGTAGTGAAAATGGGTTTCCATAAAGTTAGTGCAAACTTCCAATGCATTTCAACAACATTGCCAGATGTCCAGGAATGGATTAAATCCGACACGGTCATTTCTGCTGCCTGTCAACCGTCAAAACACTGGTGTTGGCAAGTACCTTTAGCTAAGTAGGTAACATTAGCTGGTACTAGCTAGCCAGTAGCTACTTTTGGTTATACAACATAATTTGTTATACCATGGCATTGTTGTATACTCGTTTCTGATTGGCTTGAAGGGCATTCTAGTGCATGCGTTATTTCCCTATAACACGCAGTATATCAACACGGTAGAATTCAATGGCTATAGTTCATTTTTACATGTTCTATGTTTGAGCAACTTTTGAAAGCAAAAATTCCAATTTAAAACAGTATCGGCATTGTTGAATTAGATTTTCATAATAACAAGCTAGGACTGATGGTTTGGTTAGCTAAACTAGCAGGTCTGTTTGTTTGGTTACCATGACAACCACTGTAGAGCTATCTAGTCAATTTGCTAGCTACTTTTCTAGCGGCCAAATGTGTTAAATTAGAGCCGTGGTATAAAAGGGATAATCAACTCAGGGCTCTATGTGTTCTCTGGAAAATAATGTGGAAGGTCAGTTTCCCTCCACTAGCGTGTCGTGGAACACACCTTCCACATCGTTCATTATTTTCCATAGAATGCAAAGCCCCTCGTTGATTATCCCTAACATAATGCTAGCAAGCCACAGACTAAAGTAGTCTAGACAAATAGAATGCCAAATAGACAAATATAATGCTATTTTAGTCCTGGTTAGACAGCTGAAGTTGTACTTTGATTTGTTAGGTAAGTGTAGTTCTACTGTCTTTTTAAACACATCAGTATGATATTTACAGCAGAACATGTTTTGTCTTTGGAACACGAACTCACTCAAGCTGGGTGATGTTTGTGCAATGTCCATATGTAGCCTACACCTGTTGTTCTGTTGCGGCAGGTAGCTTAGTGGTTAAGAGCGTTGTGCCAGTAACCGAAAGGTCGCTGGTTCTAATCCCTGAGCCGACTAGGTGAAAAATCTGTCGCTGTGCCCTTGAGCAAGGCACTTAATAATAATAATATAATAATAACCCTAATTGCTCCTGTAAGTTGCTCTGGATAAGAGCGTCTGCTAAAATGTAAATGTTGTAGGAATATTAGCCATTGCAAAAACAGGAGATCAGCTCTCTAGTAGTACTCTATGGGTATAACTCAGTTTGGTATGGCAATATGTTGCTCCTACTTTTCTCTCCTGATCCAACAGGCCATATTGCCTTCCATCTATTTAGAGAACTTACCTTAGTGTGGCCTAATCTGTACTGGGTGTGGTCAATGTCCAGAGAGCCCAGCAGTTTTTCTGCTGCCTTCACGTTGTCCATGAACTGACCCTCAGGGATAGCATTTGGATTGAGGATGCGGTATCTGAATTAAAAATCACAAAACAATTATCTTCAATAATGGAACACGTGGTTAGGCAAGCAGCTGCATTTATTTTATAAAGAAAATGTATAACCTTATTTTTTACCTTTGTTTGAAATCAGCATACAGGATCCTGTTGGGGAAGCCCTTCCTGCAGATCCTGATGCCTTCCAGCACACCGTTGCAGCGCAGCTGGTGCATGACCAGAGGATTCTCCATGGCCCCAGGAGTCTTGGTCTCGTTGGGGATGAGGCAACGCACAAAGTGGGGGTGAGTAGACCTCAAGTTGGTCATGAGTTTACCCAAGTTCTCCTGTGAGTATGACACATGTAGAATTCTCCATCAGTGAGTCTCAGAGAATGAGGATGTAATGCTAACATTCCAATCCACAGTTGCAAATATAATACATTTGTTAATATTCTGCCATGCAAAAACATCAGAAATATATGAATTGAAAAGTTTACCCTGTGCAACGCAGACACAGTCTGGAAGGAACCACCTTTTTTCTTTTTTCCTCCTCCCCCAGCTGCTTTGTCTTCACCTGTGTGATAATGAAATAATAATAAATAAATAAAAATACTATTATTACTACTATCATGTCAATTGTTATACTTTAGTGGTTTGTAGTCTTTGCAGACAGAAACATATAGTACCTCCTTCTGCACCAGCATAGCCCGTATAGAGGTTGGCCAGGAACTTAAGGCTTGACTTCTGGAACAGTCCGACCACAGTCTCATTCAGCGGGTCCTTGTTCTTCACCAGCCAGTTACCAATGTTGTAGTCTACAGTGCCAGCATAGTGAACCAGGGAGAAATGGGCCTCTGGTCTACCCTTAACGATCTTGGGCTTCTGGAAGCAGTTATTTTTGCCCAGATGGGTGTCGTACAGCTTAGCTTTGAATGTAGCATCACTGGCCTTGGGGAACATGCACTCCTCTTCAAGGATGGACATGATACCCATGGGCTAGGGGAAGGAATGAAAATACATTAGTGCTAAGGGAAAAGCGTAGTGAATAAATATCAGAATCATTTGTCTATTGAAGATTGCGCTTGTAATGTTCATTTTAAATGTACTTCCATTAAATGTTTGAAATCTCCAAAGATAACTCAGGACCCTTCATATAAACTACTGAAAAACGGATGACACCAACCCTTTCAATGAGGTCAATGCAGGCAGCCAAGTCCATGCCGAAGTCAATGAACTCCCAGACGATACCCTCCTTCTTATACTCCTCCTGCTCCAGCACGAACATGTGGTGGTTGAAGAACTGCTGCAGCTTCTCATTAGTGAAGTTGATGCACAGCTGCTCAAAGGTGTTGAACTGGAAGGGAAGTTGGCAGTGACTTTATTTTGTCAGCTGTAATGTTTTAGATAAATCCGTTTTGTGACGTGGCCTTTTATATGGAACTATAGTCTACATCATACACTCACATCAAAGATCTCAAAGCCTGCGATGTCCAGCACACCAATGTAATGCTGACGAGCGTTCTTAGTGTCCAGAGAAAGGTTGATTCTTATCACCATCCAGAGGAACATCTTCTCGTAAATCGATTTGGACAGCGCACCAATGGCGTAGTACACCTACAAAATATGAAGAAAATAAATTTGCAAAGAAATTGCCTCAACATAAACACATGGGAACAGTTTCCCAGACACAGATTAGTTCTAGCCCTGGACTAAACATCACGCTCAATGGGGAATCACTCAGGAAAATATTAGCAACTCTATACAGAAGTTTTATGCTCACAATTATTTAGCTCCTGGAAATGTATTTAAAAAAATTATACTCACCTGGTCGACACTCTGACCTTTGGTGACCCATTCATTTCCTACTTTGACCCTTGGGTGACACAGCGCCTTGATCAGGTCAGCAGAGTTCAGGCTCATCAAATATGCAACTTTGTCAACATCTGGAAAGGCGAGGTTTTATGGTTGGGAGGAGGCATTCTGACCGTCGGAATTTTCAAAGATGATTGTATATTAAAGTGAGAGGTTTTAAATCCTCAGCGCTCACCCTCGGTGCCGTCAGATTCTGCTTGCTCCTCCCTCTGCTTGTTCTTGAACTTCATGTTGCCATAGTGCATGATGGCACCAGTCAGCTTGTAAATGCCGTTCTTCTCCTCTTGGGAGAAGCCCAGCACATCGAAGGCATCCTAGTTCCGGATAATAGTAAATTTTTTTGTATTGCGGAGAAAGTTGGACAGATGAACAAGTCAAGATAAATGTAAATTTCCATTAACATTTACTTACATCAGTAGCCATTAGCTCATCCGCATCATTAATGGAAGTTACAGTAATCTCTCCTTGGGAGATGAAGGCGTAGTCATAGGGATTGCTGGTGATGAGTAGCATCTCTGAAAAGATTTGAACAGCACAGTTTATGGTACTGTTTACTATGCGGTGTTTCTCAACCTTTTTTTTGAAAACTGTGGCAGATAATTTACTGACAAAGATCAGTAACATCCCAAGGACTGGTGCTGGTCCACAGACCTGAGGTTGAGAGACACTGAACTTATAGTGTTCAGTACCTAGTTGAATGTTCTAATACTCACCTAGAAGCTCCGGTTTCTTTTGGGACAGGATCTGATAGAAGATGTGGTAGTCTCTCTCAGCCTTGAGCTGGAAAGTGACACGTGACTTTTCCAGAAGATCTGATAAGCATGAAAAATGACATGTGTATTTTATGAATCTGTTATCAAAGAGATTTGTTCAAACCTGATCAAATTGAACTTTTACTTACAAGTCTCAATGTCAGCAGATGAAAGTTTCCCAGTGACTCCAAAATGAATTCGGATGAATTTACCCTATGAGATTTTACCAACATATTAATTAATGCGCCCATATACACAAGGTAATGGGGTGATTTTATAATAATGACGTGTTCTCAAACAAGAGGGAAAAAAACGTACGAATCGGGAGGAGTTGTCATTCCTGATGGTCTTGGCGTTACCAAAAGCCTCCAGGGCAGGATTGGCCTGGATGATTTGATCCTCCAGGGTCCCCTACAAACCAACACCCACACAGTGTTACATCTCTGTAATGAATATCTCATTGATTTTGTCAACAGGAAGTGTGTTTCATTTGGGACGAACGTTCTGTTTACCTTTTTTTCTTCTGCTGCACTTTTCTTTCCGCTAACAGCAGCAATGCTGGCGAAGTACTGGATAACTCTCTTGGTGTTCACAGTCTTTCCAGCACCGGATTCTCCACTGCGATTGGAAATATAAATATTGTTTGTTTACGACATTTCTCCTAATTGTAAATAGACTCAAATTGATATAAACCTTTGGTTGATGTACTTACGTGATGAGGACAGACTGATTTTCCCTGTCTGTTGAAAGAAAAGGAATATCAGTAAATAGCATACGTCATTTTCCAACTATAGTTTGATGTTTTCAATGTACTTAGAAAGCAGCAGTTGCATTTTACCTGACAGCATGTACTGGTAGGCATTGTCAGAGACGGAGAAGACGTGAGGAGGAGCTTCAGTCCTCTTCTTGCCTCTGTACGCAGTGACAACAGACTGATCGTACACTGGCAGCCACTTGTAGGGGTTGACCGTGACACAGAACAGCCCTGAGTAGGTCTGTGGAAGACGAGAGAGGTGCAGATTTAAAATTATATTCATTTGAATCAATGTTTTGATATAATGGAGATGTCAGCGGGCAGGTTATTACTTACGTAGATCATCCAGGCTGCGTAACGCTCTTTGAGGTTAAACAGCACAGCGGGCTCGTGCAGGAAGGTGAACATCGCCATGTCTTCAATTTTATCAAACTTTGGCGGGTTCTGGGGATGACAGTCGACCTCCTTCACGACAACAGTCTGAAAGTAAATTACATTTCCACAGTTTGGTTCATTTTATATTCAAAGTACAATGGATAAATCATTATATAGAGTACATATTGTTCCTGTTGTCTATCCATGTTTAAAACATTTTCTTGATATATTTACCTTCCCGTACTCCGTATCGACTGTGATCTTGTCCCCGTCTCTGCTGGTGATTGTGCCCTTGACGTACTCAACCTCAGGGTCAGGCACATAGCACTCCCTCTTTATATCAAAGGGTCTAGTCTGGCATTCCATCCTCTCCTTGTCTGGTTTACGCAGAAAGGGAGCTGCCGCCCCGAACTCCTCCATCGCCATGTCCCCCATCCTGAAATCTGTACAGGGAGGAACAGAAAATATCTACATACATCCACAGTTTCATTCCAAAATATCCCATTCTGACATTAGCATTAGTTGGTAAATCCTGAAAATGATCTGTTGAATGAAATAGTGAAAACTGTGTTTCCAGGATAGTTTGAAATAGTATGTATCTTGTGCAGTCTGAATTGATCAGCAGTTTGATGGTCCTTTTTGTTTTGTTTCACACTAAATGCGTGGTTTTGTTGAATACATGCTAAAGAAGATTGTTTACTTTTTACTTCACAGGGATTGGACCTTTAGTCTTAGAATCATTAGGTAATAGTTAAAACTGTATAAGCAATCATGAAACTCCTGTCAATTTGGTGAAAAGCCTATGTTCCATCAGTGGGTAAAATAACTATTTATTTAAAACTTCTAAGTGGTCTGTCTGTGAAATCAGGAAATTGTGAAGGAACTCGTCATACCTACAGTACAAGGTGCTCGTCACTGGAGACAGGGGATAACACACTATCACATTTCATAACGCTTTTAAAAACAATGACCTGAACTCCGGATCACTAAATCAGCCAATAGATGGCACGGGCATACTAAATCAGCCAATAGATGGCACGGGCATACTTGTTTAGAACACATCCATCCATTTATATCGTCATGACAATGTGATTTTGTTGAGTACATTCATTAAATGGTACTTTTCTACTGCTAACGAAGACAGTTTATTTACTTCACAGGGATTAGACCTTTAGTCTTAGAATCATTAGGTAATAGTTAATACTGTATAAGCAAATTCCATTTTGAATGAGATTTGCATGAGCTTGCATTTCACAGATGCTGACATGGTTTATTTTGTGTGAATGAATTATGGTGTACAGTTATAATGTATTATTATTACTGTTATATGTATGAGCCTTACAATGTTTCATAAATCAACTTATAACATATATGTTGTCTTTCTATGTGGCAATTTATAATAGGTTCTAAATGACTGGTAATAGCTCTGGCTTATTGTAAGAGGATACTGTAGCAATCCTCGTTAATATGAGCCACGTTACAATTCCCACCAAGTAGGTTAACATTGGTGTTAGAAGTGGGATGTCAGCCATGAGGCCATCGGAACGCACGGACAGATGTGTGAGGGGGCTGATGTGGTGTAAGCCCTGGGATGCGCCTTTCCTGTTCGGAAGGGGCTGATGTGGTCGAAGCCCTGGGATGCGCCTTTCCTGTTCGGAAGGGGGCAGTGTAACGACCCTCACTAATATGAGCCATGTTACAATTCCCTCTTAAGTGAGTTAACCCTATCAGCACGATGTGTAGGGTGTTTGCCTTTCATACCAGCGGCCCGGGTTTGCTTCCCTGCCCCGCCGTTCGCAACGATACTTATATATTATAAGCAGTTCATAGTCACTTATGACAAGTCTTATAATGCATAATGATCATGTCTTAATAATATTTGTTTGGCTTCAGTAAAGTGTTACTCTAGGCTGGGATTCTCAATTGGTATCCTGGCTGAATAACAAGTTCATCTCAAGCTAGAGAGACTGCAATCTTCAATCCTCAACACATGCTCTTGTGTAATTAATTACGAATTAAATCACCTTAATTACGGTCAGACTTTTGATGGCCCAAATTCAGTTAATTGCAGATGCAGTTAAGGCAAAATGTACTGCTGTAAAACCCTATAAAAAAACGTTTTCACATCAATAACTTAAATAACCAAGCAAATGCATCCCATGACTTTAAATATATATATGTAGGCCTGTGCCTTAGTCAAGAGAGTGTCTACACTCTACAACCTTAGTGTGGAAGTTAACGATCCTTACCGGTTGTTGGTCAGTGGTCACCTCTTGGAAGAGTTTGGTGGAAAGGATCTCTACTGAGAATGAAATAGACAAATACAAAGACCAACATCAATCACCTGACCAGCTGTGTATTTGCTGATTTGTGCCTTGTGGGAATCATAGTTGTTGCAGACTGCCTCTATGTGCTTACCTTTAGGATGACAGTCCGGTGCCTTCTGTCTCCCTGGTCTGTTTCTCTCCAGACCCTGCATCCCTCTTTATAAAGGGTGTTGTTCAGCCCTATATGGACAAGGGCCTTGCAAAAGTTACTCCGATTATTTTAAAAATATCTGTATTTGGAAGTAGAGGTGTGTAGAAGACGGGCTATCAATGAGGACAGAGGAGGGGACAACAAAAAAAAACCCAGGGTGCGTAACTCCTAATTTGGACTGTCACTTTATGAGATGACTTCGTGTTGACAACATTTCGGATCCCGTTTTAGCACCCTCCTCCACGGGTCAGTCTCAGACACAATGTACATTCATGTACGGTATGTATGTTTGCGCAAGGAGAGATTGAGAATCTCATGTTGATTGTGTTTTATCATATAATTGTGCTTTTTAATAAATGCAGATAGATATATATTAAGTAGAACATGTATGATTCTCTTGAAGCATTTTCTATAAAGTGCAACATTCAGGACAGCACACCTTTTTCCTCCAGGTGCGGCAAATCAACAGTACTTGCTAGGACCGAATTGAACTCGGTGTGCAGATTAATTTACATTTTAGTCATTTAGCAGACGCTATTGTTCAAAGTCACTTACTTAAGTCTGACAACCACAGTCATAGTAAGTCAAACTTTCCTCAATAAAGCAGCTAATCGGGCAAATCTGTGCTAGTAAGAAAGAAGAAGAAAGGCAAGTATAAAGGTGTTGGGTTGTTTCTTGCCCCCGTACTATTCATACCAATTATACTGTCTAATAGAAAGAGGAGGAAGGGAAGCGCTACCAAGGTACACAGTAGTAGATGTTGGTAGACAGAAGGTGCTCTTTGGTCAAAAGGGGTGAATTGTTCATCATAATGAAAGGAGGACCAAGGCTCTCTTCATACAATTCATAAAAAATGCCTTTATTAGTATGGCAATGTTCAATAGAAACAAGGTTTAAAAAAAAAAAAATCTGACGCGTATACTGAAATCATTGCAAGACAACTGCAGCTGTCCTCCTTTGTTCGCCAAGGCAAGGTCACGGTCCTTTCCATTGTCACAGAGCAACAGCTACGGTAAGTATAACCCTAGGCCCCATCTTGTTTATGCGTCATTGTTCCTTTCCTTTATCCTTGAGGACAAAGATAAACCTGTCAAATTGTTCTTGGATTCCAACTGACCACAATGTGCTTGAGTGCATTAGGTGCGTTATGCATCTGCTTCCACCATGACACATACCAGTTAACATGTTCACCTTCAAAAGACAATATCCCATTTGAAACAATTACATTTACATTTTTAGTCATTTAGCAGACGCTCTTATCCAGAGCGACTTACATGAGCAATTAGGGTTAAGTGCCTTGCTCAAGGGCACATCGACAGATTTTTTTCACCTAGTCGGCTCGGGGATTAGAACCAGTGACCTTTCGGTTACTGGCACAACGCTCTTAACCACTAAAGCTACCTTGATAAATAGCCTTTTCTATAGTTTAATAGCATCCTCTGTTTAATGTTTACATGAAGTCAGTCTTAAGGCCTGGTTACAACACTGATATGAACAAGTTCTAGACGATCATAAGGGTATATGTATAGTTTAAATTAGGCCAACGTCAACATTATCCTGCCCTTTGACAATGGATAACGTTATAACACTGGATAATGTAATAAACTTATTTTATCATGTAATAAAACCCGGGTAATGTAATAACTTATTATTTTGTAATGTAATAAAATCGGATAATGTCATAAAAAGCCAGTTAATTTAATAAAACGGTTGAACTGATATGTAACTGTTTCCCGGATAATGTACTAAGTTATTACGTTATTTGGTGGTCAATACAATATCAGGTGAGTAACAAACGTTTTGACCTGCGTGCCACAATGTCCCAGGCAAGGTTATTATTCAGAAATAGTTTTTTGGGGTCTCAATTGCAACAGACATTGTGTATGATTATATGCACACAATAATGTGATTATTGGAACGGTGGATGTGAGAAGACATTAGTGAAAGTGTGAAGCTGTGTCTACAAGGTTGTAATGTGGTGGTTGACATAACTGGAAAGAAAGTTACCTCCTTCGAGACAGTGAAAGTGTGAAGCTGTCTACGAGGTTGTAATGTGGTGGTTGACATAACTGGAAAGAAAGTTACCTCCTTCGAGACAGTGAAAGTGTGAAGCTGTCTACGAGGTTGTAATGTGGTGGTTGACATAACTGGAAAGAAAGTTAGCTCCTTCGAGACCTGTGTGTGCATGGGGTTAATGCCCTGTATTTTCTCCTGTAAACTGTAGGAGCCCCCTTGACTCCCACAACTTCACACCTGTGCCTAGCTTCAGCCTTGAGCCTCTGTAATTAGCTTCTAGATCTGAACATACCAGACCGTGTCCCTCAGTGACATTGTTAAGGCTCCCATTCCCAGCTGTCTTGTATGTGTCTGTGCTATGGATGTATTTGAGTCTTGCTTGATGTACTTCAACATATGGACTCACCTTGAACTCCATAGAATGTCAGACTGCCATGCGTTCTCCACTGCTCCCCCCAGGGCTGAGACCATGTCTTCCCTCAACCAAGGCACGTGAGCTCCCTGATGGGGTGAGTGAAAGAGGAGACCGTGATCCACAACCCTAAACACAGCACATTGAGACAAATCGCTTTTGCAAGAGAGACCTGGACACACTTTGAAACGCACCTTGGGCAACCTTTTCCTCATGCAAAGACACGCTGTGAACAAACAACGGTGAGATAAAAAGACGAGCGTTCTGAATAGCGCCCCTTGCATCTGCCTTTGCGTGCGCCACCTGTATCATGCTGTTGACAAACTCTGTTACAATTCACAAATCTTGCCGTCTATTTAAAATTGGACTAATTGTGATCACAGTTTATGTGTCTTTTGCATTAGTGAAATATTGCGGCCGTTATGCTAGCTGGTTTTGCATTCGTGCTTAGGTTATGAAAATCATGCCTCCCATCATCTCAACTGGCCCTCAGGATTTTCCCGCCACAACATCCCTGAAGAGACAGTAACTGACAGCCAAAAGCAAATAAAGGTATTTGATGACACTTTAAAATGTATCTCTTATCTATTACGCTGTTCTGCTAAATGTCTTTAATTTCTGTCTTTTGAGACCATGAACACACAGATGGTAAAATGATCATTGTTTACTTGCGTCACGCTGCCTGCAGAGCATTGTGGCAGGAAGCATAATTGCACATTTTATTTTAATCTAAAGTTTTTTTCAATTGAATTTACTGTACAATGTAAGCTATTTATTGGATTTTAATCAGGACGAAAGTTAACTTTTAAACCAGCGTATCTGTATGATTCCCTTTCTTTTTTCAATTTGATGCATTTCACTTTTCATCTCTTTCATCTGATTCATTTTGCTTTCAGGTTCCTTCTTCCCACTACGTCTGTACATCAGATCATTTCAGGTTCCTTCTTCCCACTACGTCTGTACATCAGATCATTTCAGGTTCCTTCTTCCCTCTACGTCTGTACATCAGATCATTTCAAATTATGTGATTGTCGTCTCCACGTCTTCTAATCTTTGGACTCCAGAACAGTTGAGGTCCCGTTAACAGTTTTCTAAGTATGTAAAACACTTGGTCTTGTTTTGATCTGTACATGATTTGTAGTCTGTTCATGCCATTGCACTGCTTTGGTCATTTCTATTTGCTGTAATACATTCCTCTATCTCTCATTATTCCATCTATTATCACTGTCTTATGTTACTCAGACGTACTGGTTGAGCTTTAAACAAGACAGATCTGGATTCATGTCAGCAATGAGGGTAATAGCTCAGTGTTTACGCACTAACTTTAAATGCTTAAAAATCAGGAGTTATTTTACCTGAAGGGTCTTTGAGTGACGATAACACTAGGGTTAGGCGGTATTCAGATTGTCATACTGTTTCTGTACCATACTGGGGTATACTGTATATTTATTTATTTATGGCACAAAACAATTAGGGAAACGGAGATCTTGATCCAGGACTGGATTGAATGTCTCTGCTGTAACCAAGAAGCTAGAAAGTTAGCAAACCTAATGCATAGCTGGAGCCCTGAGCTGGAGCCCTGAGCTGGAGTCCTGACCTGGAGCCCTGACCTGGAGCCCTGAGCTGGAGCCCTGACCTGGAGCCCTGACCTGGAGCCCTGACCTGGAGCCCTGAGCTGGAGCCCTGACCTGGAGCCCTGACCTGGAGCCCTGACCTGGAGCCCTGAGCTGGAGCCCTGAGCTGGATATCATTTATTTGACACACCTTAGATTTCTTATAGTTATAGTTAACTTATAGTTATAAGCAGTGGTTATTTTCACAGGGATCACAGAAGTATCTAGGAGGATAACAACGGGAGATTTATCATCATTCTGAGGTAACAGCATGTGTTTCTTTATTTTAGGTAACCTCATATTTGACTCCCAAAATCAGAGAAAATCTAATGTTTAAAGAATCAAATCATTAAAATGGAACTATTAATGTCAAAACTCACCACTCATGTAGCCCTATTGCAAACGTTCAATCAGCCATGATGGCATAAATTCAGAGAATTCTGCCCAATGGGAACGCTAAAACTCACAACACTCTTCACACCAACTAATCCAGGTAATGTCCGGGAGTTGCCCCAACCGCAGGTCGATAACAGAGTCTGCATCCAGAGCTCTCTGAGGATAATTGTTTGCATTGTATGGACTTTACAGGATTTGTTGTTACATGGTTTTAAGGGCCAAAACATCAAAATGCACCTATTTGATATAGAAAAACCTTATTTAGTCTGTAGTGTAGCATTACTAAGTAAGTGTACCTCTTGTTCTGAATGTACGCTGAACAAAAATGTAAACACAACATGCAACAATTTCAAAGATTTGTCTGAGTTACAGTTCATATAAGGAAATCAGTCAATTGAAATAAATGCATTAGGCCTTAATCTATGGATTTCACATGACTGGGAATACAGATATGCATCTGTTGGTCACAGATACCTTTAAAAAAAAGGTAGGGGAGTGGATCAGAACACCAGTCAGTATCTGGTGTGACCAGCATTTGCCTCATGCAGCACAACACATCTCCTT